TTCCCATAGGCACTGTCAGAAGGGATTGGGATGTTACAGCTTTGCCCCTCAACGTTCTGGAGTCTTGAAGGGGCATGCCCTTAACCACAGTCCTCTGCTGACATCACTCAAGAACTGAGACTTGGACACCTGGGCAGCTCAGTTGTTAAGTGTCTGACTTCAGCTTAGGTCATAATCTCATGGTTCCTGAGTTCAAGTCCCACAACAGGTGAGTGAGCCCCATTTCGGGTGAGCATGAGTCCCACTTTGGGTGAGCCCCACTTCTCTCTCTCACTCCCTCTCTCTCTTCCCCTCATGGGATTCTCTATCTCTCCATCTCCCTCTGCCCTTGTTCACTTGTGCCTTCTCTCTCTGAAAGAAAGAAAGAAAGAAAGAAAGAAAGAAAGAAAGAAAGAAAGAAAGAAAGAAAGAAAAACTACCTGAGACTTCACAGCTGCCCTGCAACCTCCACACTTGCTTGTGCATCCCTGCCCAGGCACTTGGGCACCGGGAGCATGGGTACTGGGCACATGAGCACCAGGCACTCGGGCACTGAGCACGTGGGTACTGGGGACTTGAGCACCAGGCACTTGATGGTGGCAGCTAAACCGTATTTTATTGATCACTGGATTCAAAATCCACCCTTTGCCTGAGAGGGATCTCTGGTTCAAAGTCTTGGGAGCAGGTGATCTCACTGAGAAGTCAAGTTGTGATCAGCAATTCACCGGAGCGCTCAGTGAGCACGTTCGCGTGTGTAACTCCGGAGTTTTAGCTGCTCAGTGTTCCTGCGGTCTTCACAGCTGCATTTTTAAGGACTTTGGCTGTCCCAGCCTTCGACTGCAGCTACAAACTGAAGGGTGGGGAGAAATGGGAGACTGGGAGAATATAACAAAAATATCGTTCTGAAGAAAGGGTTTTTTTTCCTGAATAGATTATTCATTAATATATTTATTCACAGGAAGAATATATTTAAAAGGATTCTGAATATTCAAAATGTATTAACAAATATATTTTTCATGAATATATTTATAAGGTGGGTAAGTTTTTAAGAAGAACTTATAAGAAAAAATATTCATGAAGAATGTATTCTTGAATATTAAGAATATATTCATAGGAACACTTCATATTCAAGAATATGTTTTTCAGCTCTGTGAGTTGCAGAGACAAACGGAATATTCTTTAAAATGATATGAAACAAGATGTAATGCAGTGAAAACTCAGTATTTCCAAAGGCATGAGTAAATGTGGCAAGTCGGTCATTTGCTGGGTGGTTAAGAGACCTTTCTGGATCAAGAGTCAGGCTTCTTGATTCAAGCCCAGATCTCACTCCAAAGCCCAAGTACTTTCCCCTATATTTACCTGCCTCCAACTGGAAACTCCACAAAGATAACTTGATCAAGAAATCCCAGGGAGGTTCAAAAGTCGGCATTCAGCAAGGGTAAGAGGTCACAACGCAGAGCCCTGGGTAAACAGGAGAGAATCTTCCATGCTGTCATTCTGGAATCTGTTTAGGACGGGGGTTATCCAAGGTCGGGATCTAATCACAGGCTGGGAGGAAAGAGGTGTTCAGAGCTGATGAAGGAGAGGTTTTTCTTGGGAGGACTGTGGGTTGTTGGAAGTAAAAAGAATTTATTTTGGTGAACAAGTATCCAAAATGAAAGGCATTCAAAGACTATGGTCCCAGAAGCCCCAAGCTCCCATAGCATCCTTGCTAATGATCTGATTTCCAGATCATGACGTGTTACACAAATGATCCTTTAGGGGACTCTTTCTAATAACCTAGGAGTTTGTATTTCTTGAAGCCCCAATGGCAATGTTTTGCTTTGTCTTTGACTCACTATTACTGCAGGTGGGAATCAGAAAAGAGGAGAGTGGTGTCTGGGGGCAGCAGAGGCTTTCAAACCATCTGGGGCATTTCTGGATGCTTCCTGACTCCTCCGGGTCGTGGGGATCCTCCCCGTGGAAAGATTTCAACTCTCAGGTTTCCAGCCTGTCTGGAGAGCATGGGAAGGGAGGAATTGATTGGAGTCAAAGCTGGACACGGTAAGGCTGAGTCAGGGCAATTGAGCCCCACTCTGAGATCATCCTGGGGTCTGCCCCACATGCTTCTGGGCCCCCTACACATGCCCACACTGGAAAGAGTGAGCCTCTTGGGGTCCTCAAGGCTGATGCAAACTTGAGGAGTCTGTGTGTGGGGATTCCTGGAAGAATGCTCAAGAAGCGGATTGCTGTTGCTACCATTTTCCTGAAGCTTACTTAACAGGTACTATCAGGTATTGTGCACCTTATGCGTGTTTTGTCTGCCACATTCACATACACACATCCGCAAAATCAAATTAAAAAAACATCTCTCAAGGTAGGTATTATTTTCTTTTTACAGAAAAATGACGCATATTTAGGAAGTTACGGAGGTGGCATTTGAAGTTGAATTTGACGGACTCTCCTCATTCACTGGTGCAACAACTAACTTCCTGTGTGCTGGTTAAGTGTCCAGAGCCGTGTCGAGTGCTGGGAATGGTGCTGAACAAGGCTGCCACGGCCTCTGTCCTCACAGACCATCTAGACTCGTGGGGAGAAACATGCAAGTGGTGACGATGGCGAGTGGGGAGCGATGTGATGGGGAGATGGGCTGCAGTGGGGTCTTCCCAGGCAGGGGGAGGGGGAAAGAGCACCTCAGGCAGAGGGAGTAGCATAGGCCAAGATGAGAGGCCTTCTGGGAGGGTGAGTTTGGAGAAGGAAAGGAGTTCAGTGTAGGTTCAGCCCCAGATGGGAGCGGGAGCGAGGCGCTGTGATGGAGGAAGGTGGGGGGAGGTGCAAAAGGCTGAAGCATGTCGGACCATCACAGACCAGCTCGGGAGCTGACCTGCACCTGGTGGGTCTCCACCGCCAGTGAGTTCATGTCGGTAGGAGAATCTATAACACAGAGCCGGACAGAGCCGAACGCTTTGGCTTCCTGACTTGGGTAGCCACTCGGATGATATGCTATTGTTCACTCAGGTGAGGATACCAGGATGGGGCTATTTGAGTTCCTTTGGAGTATGACAAGGTGAAGGTATCGGGTGACAAGTCGGGGTGTCTGGCAGGTGGCTGATACCTGGAGAGGGCTCTGCCTGTCACATTGTCATCTGAACACACTGAGTCTGAACACAACTCTTCAACTCTAATTTGGCTTGGGGTTGTCTGTTCTGTTCTAGATCATTCTGCTGAAATAAGTATTAAATATATGAAACACCTCGGGGCTCCTGGGTGGCTCAGTTGGTTGAGCGTCGACTCTTCATTTCAGCCCAAGTCATGATCTCACCATCAGTGAGATCGAGCCCCGCATCAGGCTCTGTGCTGACGTTGTGGAGCCTGCTTGGGATTCTCTCTGCCTCTACCCCCACCCCCTATCCTCAAAATAGATAAATGAACAATAAAAACAAATAAACGAAACACACATCTCGTGTCTTCCATGGAGACCATACGATGAGCAATTGTAAGGTTCTTTTTAATTAAAAAAACCCCGTTTTAACTTCTCAAGTTGTTAACAGCTGAATTTGCTTCCCTGATGAAAACTATCCCAAGTACTCAGAAAAGGCTGACTTCTTTGGTGGCTAATGCCAACCTGGGGGCATGGGAACACGTTAAAACCTGTTTTAAAAATTAATTAATTAATTAATGAATATTCATTAATGCAGTGGTGTGGGGGTTTTATTTTTTATCTGTTTATTATCATTTAAAATATATTAAAATTTGAACACAGCAGAAGCAGGAATTTCATTGTACATGGCAGTCTAAAAATAAAAGACAAAGCAGAAAACAAACAGTAAACAAAACTCCATAGAAAATGAAAATTGACATGAACCAATAATATATTAAAATTCCATTTAGGTGAGGGTCTAAAAAAGGTCCTCTGTGCACACCTCTTACAGAAGAATGTTTTTTTCTTCAGTGACCTACACTTTGAGAGTCTCCAAGCTGAATCAGCTTTCTTCAGTGGTAAGATTCTTAATGAGGCAAATGGGTGTGGTCTGTTTCTTGCCTTCCCTGCTGCCCCCCAGAAAACAACGGACCTCCTCTTCCACGGGGGCGGGCATATGTAGCTGACTGTGGGTGTGGGAAAGGAGGTGACTGTCTTTCTAAGCTGTGGGACCGACTCTGAGGGGGTCTCCGATATAGTCACTTACACAAAACAAGGAGGGTCTGACAAGAAATCAGAGTTGTTCAAACAACTCACAGCTACGAAGCTCCCTAAAGCAGAGATCTTGCCTTTCAGTGGTGTGACTCTATAAAGGTATCACCCGGCTGCACACACCCTTGGACAGAGAGCAGGGCCAATCCTCCCGGGGCTTCCTCAGAGTGGAGGCTGGGAGGGTTCTGTGCGGGTGGCTGGCTGGCCCCTCAGCCTGTGTCGGTGGCAGGACGGGTCATCCTGTGCCCCCAAAGAGAGCCCTCCACGCACTGCTAGTGGGGGTGGGTCCTTGGGATGGTCTGATCAGCTTCTGCTTGATGCCCAGGCAGCCTGCTGTGCTCCTGGGCACCTTGCGGGAGACCCCTGAGGTGCAAACAAGAAACGGTTCATGTAACAGAAAGGAGAATTAAGGAATCATGAAAACATGTGCTTATTATTATTATTATTTTCTTAAAAGATTCACACTTTCCTGAGTAAAGCACACAAAAATCCCACATGAAGTCTTTTTAAAGCACCAGGCCTCTGTCTCTTGGACTCCCTGCCCCCAGATGGCAAATCTGGGCCAAGCTCAGCTGTTCTGGTGGGAACATCCACCATGTATTTGGGAATGCTGTTTTTCTTTATATTCTAGTGCTTGAGAGTTTTACGCTTGAAAAATGGGAAGCGGTGAAGGAGAAAGCCAAAGGTGGGTCTGATCGCTGTACCGCATCAGGGCTGAAAGGACCCCATGGAAGGTAAAGACGCTCCCAAACTACACATGGGCCTCTGCATTGTTGGCATTGGATCAGCCATCAAAACCCTCTGAACATGTAAACCCAGAGCCACTTTAAAGGTTCAAGTTAAATACGGGTTATTTAAATTGATTAATGTGGGCCAATTTTATTGCTGAGAGAATAGGCCCTGGTGCCGTGGCGCTTCAGGTGGCATTTATCCTCTGGCTTCTTGGCCTGAGAGAGAATCTTCTTCAGTGAGGTCCTGGGAATTCCTGAACATGAGGATAGAATTATAAATCTTCAGCGCTGGACCCAGCTTGATCTTCATCACCTTGACGATGTCCGTCTGTGTCAGGAGCAGGAAGGCCTTGCCATCAATCTGCTGCAAGTAAATAAACATGGTTTACCCCCTGGGAACTTCTGGGTGTGGAGCTGTGTGATGCCCAACGGTGGCGGCCTCTGGGAAGAGCTCTCGAACAGCCAAGAAAGACGGCACCCTCTCCCACGCAGTCCCAACCTCTGCCCAACTCCGCGCCGTCCCCAGACACTCTGTTAAATATGAATTCAAGATACACTCATGGTTCCCAGGTTAAATTTCTATTGTTATGTTTAAAAACACTTCTCCTCAATTTGTATCATGACCCTCAAAACGAGCCTACTTTCATTCACCGAGTAAATTTCCAGAAATTTTTCCCAAGAGAACAGAGCGCAATGTGTACACTCTAGTGTTATTTATTGAAAACAGCCCAGCATTTCAAAAATGGCAGAAGTAAATAGATTATGGTATCGCCTCTGCTGGGGGACCAGGCAGTCACTGAAATTCATGTCTCAATGAAACAGTTAATGATTTAGCAAAGTTTTCATCAATTGCTAAGCGACAAAGCATGACATGATGATACAGAAAGATTTTAGCTTCAATCTGTAAAATTAAATGTGCAGGACCACCTGTATACATAAACATAATGAAAATATTTGAAGACTTTATACGAAATGGGAAGCAAAGTTAGATTTGGCTGGTAGAATAGTGGTTTGACTTTTGATTTCTCCTCTGAACTCCTCTGCGTTAAAAAGTTTTACAATAAATGCTATCAGCATAAATACACACAAAATAAAAGTTTTATTTATTCACTTTTAAAACATATCGTGGTCTGACATGGACTAACTTTTCCAGGATTCATAGGATAGTGTGTGACCACCATGCAGGCCTTTCCCACAGCAGAGCGGGGTGTGCTCTCAGAGTTTGAGTCTGAGGGACTGTGGGTGTGACCTACACCCACATCACCTACTTACCCAAACTGGCTCAGAAAGGTTGCTGGCTCTAGAACCGGGAAGACCGAATGAAAGGGTTTCCTGTGCTAATGCCCTTCCCTGAACCTAGCACTGGTTCTAACCCATTTTAAGTAATGGTGCAAAGCCTCAGTGTCAATTTCTCACGGAGGAAGTAGGGATCCCCCAGGGACCCCAGGTTTGAATTAAAGTTTTAAATGGAAGTGACAGGCTAAAGTTTGAAAGTGTTAAGACAGTGTTAACAGGCTTCCTGTGCATTTATGATACCATCTGTTGAAGAACTGTCCATTTAGAGAACTACCTGGATAACTTTGCTAGGCACTGAAACCCATGAATCCTAATCTTTAAAAGCCTCCTGAAGGAAGTCTGTGTTTCTAGAAGAGGGATGAGACAGGCTAAGTGATCCACCCACCAGGGGACTGCTGGTCATTAGAACCAGGCTGGAGCAACTTGACCTGCAACTAGACCTGTGGACAAGGCGGGTCTTGGTTGTTGCTTAATGCAGGGGGCGGCCCCCACGTGCAAGGCCAGGCCAATCACACCCGAGCCCCGCTGGGCACAGGGGAGAGCAGGTGAAGCTCCTGTTGCCACTGGTGGCTACGCACACTGCTACCATACTGGCCCTGATGCAGAGTTCCCTGGAGAGGCCGGGCTCTGAGGGGTCCAGGACTGAGAGTATTTTCCCCGGTCTATGCACACCCTGACTCTAAGGAGGTGGCGTGTGTCCCACACGCTGTAGTCTCTAGGAGTGTAGATTTCCTGGAGACTTCTGGAGCGATGACGGCAGCTCTGGAATCAGCTAGACAGGCCTGGGACCTGCCTGCCCTTTTCTTGTTGTGTCTCAGCTCCTTCAAAGGTTGTTGTGAGGACCCTCGACGGCCCAACAAGAACCACCACATCTGCACTATTCTGTCGCTGGTCTCCACTAGGCCCCCTAGAGCTGTGGCTCCTAATTCCAAGACCAACATTAGCAGTTTGGGTACATTCCCATCCAACAGGCGGTAATAAGCAGAAACCTCATGGAAGGATTTTGAGGCTTCTCTTTATTCTTTTTGAGCAGGTGCAGAGCGGGGATGTCCAGGAAGGTCCCGCTCTCACCTTGGAGCAGACAAATACCCTCCCCACCCTGGGAGCAGGCTCGTGGCGGGAGTCCTTCCTGTCCTCAGTGGGACCTAAAGTCATCATGCTAGGGCCTTGATGACACACGTAAGAATGAAGTAACTGACATGTTCATTTATTCTTCCCACAAGTGTACTTCATAAGCACACGGTATGGGCCACACGCCACAGCATTCTGTGACAAAGCACCTCTGGGCTCTTCCCTGCCCGGACCTCGTTCTCCTGCCTACCCAGCCTGCTCTGATTTACATGGAAGGAAATGAAAACAAAGCACTTCTGGGTCCAGAAGTATGGAAATACCTTTAATTTGTGCATTTCTTACCTCTTTCTTGAAGCACTTGGCATGATCTTCACAGCCCAGAAGAGACTGTACAAACTCAGCCACCTACAGTGCAAGATGAAAAGCCTGACTTAAAACATGCACCTGAAATAATTTCTTGAGTTGTAGTAATTCAACGTTTGAGTAAAATATACTTCAAATCCCTCAAATGCTCAGGATTTAAATAGTAACTATCAAGTCACATTAGCATTTGCTGGATCAGAAGTTAGACCAGCCTCCCCCCCCCACTATCTACTTCTAGCCTCTTATTTCCAGGCTGACCTACATCAGGTTATAGTTACGATGACAATGACAGCCTCCTTTTGTGCAGGGCTGGCATTCTGGAACCTGCTCTCATCTGACCCCCTGGTCCTTGGGCAGCCCTGAGGCCCCATCTGAGTCTCACCTGTGCCCAGCCAACCAGAGGGACTCAAGGGATCTATGCCGAGTGAATTCCCTCCTCACTGACAATAAGGCTGAAGCCCAAGGAGGTTTACCGATTTATTGGGGGTCATACATGGCTGGGAAGTACCAGGGATGGTTTTGGAACTCAGGTTTTCGGACTCCAAAGCCAATCACTCTCTTCAACTTCATCTTCCACTCTTTTCCCCTCCGTCCCCAGCCACATATGCCCCCAGTTCTTTGTAATTAGACAGACCCTACAATGACCTGGCTATGAGCACAGGAAGCTACTGAGTGTTTCCAATTCGTGCTTTTAGGGAGCTGAGCGACCAAACATCATAAAGTGTAGACTCTCAACGACCAAAATGACAAGTGGATTCTGGCCACTTCTGGCAAGTTCCAGCACAGGATGAAAGGCACACCAGAAGGCAACAGGAATGAAACCTGGGAGAGAAGGTGTGTAAGAGGAATGGTCTTGCTTTCTGTTTTCAATTTTTGGCTGTCTTGTGCAAACTGAATTGTGTGCACTCAACCCTTCTCTCCCCAGCTGATGGACAAGGCCCACAAGGAGACAGTGAGCTCAGGGCCTTGTATCAGCACGGTCTATAACCCAGGAGCCCTAGGAGTGCCTCTCCCCCTGCAGGGAGATGGCAGTGGACACTGACCCTCCCCACACTTTGCAGAAGAAAACATGGCATTGGTGATTTCCACCTTATAGAATGGCCAGGGACCAACACCCACAGGGTGATCCCGGGGCCTGACACCTGTATGCATACCCTTGACTCATGGCTATATTTAATCTAATGTGTAGATTTCAGAACATCTTTTTTAGGGCAATCAGCACGTTGGCGTCTGCTTTACTCACCTCTGATGCCGCAAGTATATTTTATTATGAGTCATTTACAGTCATCCTTGCAAAGAGCAGGATGATGAGGATTAAAAAAAAAAAAAAAAAAAAAACTTCCCAAACCAGCCAGCATGCTGCCACACAATGGTATCGTCAAGCCCTAGGAGCACCTGGGGGACAATCGGGTTCTGAGCTGCCTCACCAGAGCGCCCGGTGCTCCACTCGGTCAGGAAGCTGAGCCTCTCTGTTGAGTTAATATGATTCACTCTTCTTAGGTGGATAAAGAAGCATGGAGCTGGGGAAAGCCCTGGAATGCTTCTGGTCAAGCTGCAGGGACATGGTGACTGGGACAGGTGACAGCAGGGGCTCACAGAAAGTTTGTGGGGCCTGGGACACCGTGAGGTGGGCATAGGGCTGTTGGTTCCTGGGCCGCCGTCTGGCCAAGTACGCCCCGACCACAGCTACACGTGAGGCCTCTGCTGGTGCTAGGAGGGTGGGCCCAGTGAGCAGGTCCAGCGTGACCTTCCAGTGAGTTTACCGTTCCATCAGAGGTGGAAGGATACATGGAAAATCGTAAGGACAGCTTACTACTCACATGGATACTTGCTCAAATGTGCTAAGTCCCAAGGAGAGGCGGAAAGGCTAAAGGCTCCTAGCAGGGACAGATGGCATCTCAGATGGGGACTCAGGAGAGGCATCACGAGAGAGGTGGAAGTAGAGACAGGCACTTGGGCGATTTGGGGTGGGCGAGTGGAGAACACCTTCTTGGCACGGAGCCTCAGAGTCAAGGCCGAAAGCCGGAGGCAAGTCCGTATGTCCTTGGAGGTGAGGAGTCCAGTTTGGCTGGAGACGCTAAGTAGAAGGGGAGACACGGAGAGAGGCGGGGGTGGGGGTGCGGGGTGGCCGTGTGGCTTCCGGTGGGGCTTGCACTTGTAGTGCCAGCTGCAGGGGCCCCTGGGGCGGTGGTTCTCCCTCGGGACCACACCTTTGCATTGCCCGGAGAGCTTCCAACAGGAATGATGGCCAGGCTCAGGCCGCAGACACTGCAAATTGATCAAGCTGGATGGGCCCCAAGCGCGGGGCATGCATTTTTGATTCCCCTCTTGGTTGTCATCTGCAGGGTGGGCTGTGGGCCCCGGCACAAGGGAAGACTGGAGAGAGGCTCTGGCCGTGTTGCATGGACTGGGCTGGACGTCGCCGAGGTAGGGGGGAGGGGGTTGCCCAGGGCCTGGAGGGCAGAGCGCAGTGCTGAGGTTGGCAGCACCGCGCAGGTGCTGTCCCAAGGTCTGCCCACAGCCTGGGCGTGGGGCACAAGGAGGCAAAGCAGAGTCCAGGAAAAGTGTTGGCAGCACGTTTGTCCAGGCCGGTGCTACTCACCGGCAGGGACTGGCCATTCAGGTGCCAGGTGCATGCTCACCCCCGCGCTGTGACAACCAGAGAGGGCCCACATGTACCTGGTTAAAAGCCACAGCTCTAGTGGTGCCTGGGGGGCTCAGTTAGTGAAGCCTCTGACTCCTGGTTTCAGCTCAGGTCATGATCTCATGGTTTCTGAGTTCGAACCCCTCATTGGGCTCTGCACTGTCAGTGCAGAGCCTGCTTGGGACTCTCTCTCTTCCTCCCTCTGTCCCTCCCCTGCTCTCTCTCCCCATCCCCAAATACATAAATAAACTTAAAAAAAAAAAAAAAGCCATGGCTCTAAAGGAAGGTTTTTCGTGACATGGCTCTTCCACAAGGAAAGCGGCAGAATGTCAAAGCAGGAACATTAAAAATAAAGAAGCAGGAGTAGGAGTTAGCGACAGATACCCATTTTGTTGTATCTCCGCCACCAGCTTCTGCGGGAAAGCCCTGTGGGCAGCAGGGAGCCTGGGCTCCCCACAGAGTGGAGTGCTTTGAGCTAGGTCTTTATAATCCACAAGTTCCAGGAACTTCTGTTTATGGTGGAAGTATTGTGTGCTGCTTTGATGGTTTGCATTGGTTAAAATGTCCTTTGCTGGGAAAATAGAAAAAGAATCACATCCCCCCTTCTCGGCATTGTTAGCCAAGCATCACTGTCTGTGTCAAAGGTAGTCTGGAGGGGCGCCTGGGTGGGTCAGTCGGTTGAGCGTCCAACTTCGGCTCAGGTCGTGATCTCATATTCGAGCCCCGTGTCCGGCTCTGTGCTGACAGCTCAGAGACTGAAGCCTGCTTCAGATTCTGTGTCTCCCTCTCCCTCTGCCCTTCCTCTGCTCACACTCTCTCTGTCTCAAAAAACAAACAAATGTTTTAAAAATATTTTTTAAAAAAGGTAGACTGGACTTTTTAAATAGGAATAAATAACTTGTCGGAGCAACGACGAGCAAAGGGGAGGCCGAGTGGCCCTCAGTGGGGCCCCAGCACCGCCTTGCCCTCCCTCCCTCCCTCCAGCCTCTGGCGGCATTGGCCATGTCTCCACTGCCTTACCACGTGTCTGAAATCCTCTGCGTCTTTGGAAAGAGATTCTGATTCTAGTCAATCTGTCCTTTTCCAAAGTCAAAAACCAGTTCCATGAAATCTACTGAGGCCGACTTTTCTGGTCAGAATTTAAAAATATCCAAAGGCCTTGATCATTATTCAGTGTCATTATTCAGTACTGTTAGTCAGTATTTATTCCCTCTAAGAATAAATTATATTTTGAGCTTTAATAGAAAGCCCATTTTGCTCCCAACTTGAAATGTAAAGTGGCGAGCTCTCACACACACCACAGAGCACTCTCAGAAGCTTTTCCTCACATTCTCCCCTTAAAACTTTGTTGACCTATTTGAGCTTGTGGCAAGGGGAAATATTCAGATGAGTGCGAACTCCATGAAACAGGAAACTACCACCTATTTGCTTGCACCCAAGATGGCTGTGGGGACGCAGCTGCTTCTCTAAGGTGAAGGCGCTATTGCCGGAGCCTGGGGGCGGCCACCCCCTGCCTTGACCCCAGGAAGCCCACCAGGTGTGGAGGCTGATTGTGCCTGGTTCCCCAAGGAACCTCATTCTTGTTCCTCAAGGAACCTCATTCCTTGTTCTCAGGAGCGAAGCGTCCCACAGCTAAAGCCCGGCTTTGTTTTGGAAGGACAGTGAGTAGGTTGATTCTGTGGATGGCATAGCAGTTGGGAAAGACTAAGAAAGATGACCCCATGCCCGCTCTCAGCTGAGCCCATTCCTTTCCCCGACTTACTTCCCCCAGCGACCTGCTTTTCCTGGCATCCTCTCGGAGCGCAGCAGGCCTGTTTCCTTCCATGGGGCTGCTGCTCCCTTAAATCTTTCCGAACGGCGGTGTTCTCTATCTTGCTGAGCCCGTAGCTGTGTGCCTGACTGCACTGGCTCCAAGTCCACTGGGGACCGTCTTTCCAGCCCAGGTCTCATTTTTTAACAGTGGAATCTGTTATTTGCCCTTTTTTAAGGGCCTGATTGTATAAGGCTGTGATGCTTAGTTAGCAGTCTCCTGGATTTTTCCAAACACTCCCCCTGTGTAAAGATTGCTTTTAAAGCGACCGCCATCTTTTAAAGTTAATGGACGTTTAGGGAGCACTTGGTTGAGGCTATGGCGATTTATATGCACTGCTTTAAAAAGCATTTTTGCACATAAGGAATAAAAGTACCCATATGTGCACCAAGCATACATGAGCCACAGTGGTGGCTCTAAAGTGCCTACGACGTCACCTCCTGCCCTCCCGTGCCCACACACACACCTGGCAGGAGGGTTCTGCACAAAATCCACATCCCCACTAATTCACTCACTCACGCCTTTGTCAGACACTGACTCTAGGCAAGATACTTTACTACAATGACATAAAGACATACAAAAATATAATTCCTACTCTTAAGCGCTTAGACTCTTTTATAGAACATTGCCATGGCCCACAGTCAGAAATACATGTTACACTGACCATAACAAGTAGGTTTTCCATGTATTCTGTGTTGGGGTCCCATGGTTCCTCTCCAATACTCTGCTGATGAGAACATAACACAGAAGGACAGCACCCCCTCCCCGCTTTGTCCCCTCTTGGCCTGTACTGCCTTTCCAAATCTTTACTGCTCTATTCCCACTTCTAATGTGGTGTCTAAAATAGTCACAAAGTCTATCGTTGGAGCTCACTGGAATGCCCCCGAAGTGAACCCCCATCTGAGGGCTGCCTGGTTTTCAAAGATACAAATAGAACTGTCCCAAAGCCCACTCTCAGTCCATCCAAGATTCTTCGTGAGGCCCTATTTTGTTCTAGGAAACATGCTACAAGAGTGTGAGAATACAGAAAGAAATTTAGGATGTGGTTCTTGTCCTCACGGGCAGCTAGTTAGGGAGATTTCAAGACTATGATATATTATACATTAGGGAGTAAGCCAGCTGGTTTCTCTGGAACGCATCCCTGAGGGAAGTCACAGGTACAGAAGCATTATGACAGGACCACTCTATGAAGACAGGCTTAGAGATGGTTTTATTTTTAACGTACCAAGTTCTAAGGCCTCTTGCAGCAATAGAAGCCTGGGGTTCCATGTATATCCATTACAGAGAACTCGGGAACTGTGACCTCTCCCACCTAATAATCATCAATGGCACCTTCAGTCTCCCCCATGGCAAGTCTCTCCCTTCCGAGGGTTCCCTGTCCCAGTGAGACCTGCACTGTGACCACTACTGCCTCCAATCCCTCGCTTCCTTCAGTGCCAGACTTGGGACTCTTCGGGTCAGAGGTCCCCTAAGCTTCCCAGTCACTACTTAATTTTCCTAAAACTGAGGTTCTGTTTTCTTTGGACAACGGTCCTCTTGAGACATTAATAAAAGCTCTGGCCCTCCTCTTAAGGACAAGAAATACACATATTGTACACATTTTTCCAGCTTCTCCGAAGCCCGATTCCACAGCCCCGGCCAGACCCCGAGCTACATCTGCCATGTGTGCCCTGCTGAATGGAACACTTGCTACCTGCCTCCTCTGACACTTCTCTTCCGTGGACTGTTTCCACCACCGCGGTCCCCGCTGACCTCCATCTTCAACGGCTCTCCTTGGACGATCATGTCCTCAGTGAGGGCTTCCTCAGTGCCCCCCATCCATTAATGACACCTCATCCAGTGTTTCTGCCCCTGGGAATGGTTGTTGCACATCCTCTGCTGTAATGTAATCCGCAGGGACCTCTCACTCAAAACCTCCCAGATTAAATTCACCATTTTATGCCCCTGCCTTCAAACTGGGTCTTTCCCCAAAGTTTCATTTCATTTGATGACACCACTACTCTCCCATTCTCTCAGGTGAGCTCTATGAACCCTGTAGCTCACATGCCGCCATCCCAAGTCCTAAACCATGTGGTGTCGAGTCTGCAAAGGGAATCACATTTGGCTCATTTCACTTCATCTTCAATATCGGATCTATTTCACTGTGCTGTGTTACGGCTTTTGACTTTAAAATGTCTGCTGACTCTGGGTGGTTTTTCCCATGGTGGCGCCTGGTATGGGCCCAGAAGATTCTACACCAGGAGCGTGGTGGTGCCTCCTGGTCGGTCCCTCTCCTCTGCCGCTTCTCGCGCTTACTCCTTCTGCAGGTGGGTGCGATTCTCATGCTCCCAAAGCACCATCTTCATAGGTGACTTTCTGCATGAAAACCTCAGGTGGCTTGTGCTGCCAGTGCCCGGCTGCACACCTGGAGCACCTTCCGCATCCCAGGGCCCTCCTGTCTGCGCCCCAGGTCTGCACAGTGCTTGGTGGGTAAGACGTCAGATTATCTGTCTCAGCACGATGGAGATGAGGTGAGGGAAGACAAGCCACTGTCAGTCCAACTTAAAACTGAGTGAATGGCTTGAAAGTCAAGAATCAGGGGTTGCCCTGTGGAGCTCCCCATTGTGCGCGGGGCTGTTACAAGGCCAGAGTTGTGCACAACTGAGTTGGCTTGGTCAGGAAGCTGCTGCACGCTTTGAAAACCGGTAAAAGTTCATCGACAAGGGGCGGGGGGGCAGGGGATCACAGTTAGTCGCCCCCGGCTGGCATATTCAGTCAGCTCTCCTCACCGCTGGAGGGCTGGGAAGGAGAGGTGGGGCAGCGGGTGTGCTGGGGAAAGACGTCAGCCCCACCGCTCCAGGCAGGGTTTGTGAGGTCCCAGGGAGGAGGCGGAGGGAGCAGCGTTGCCCCAAACCTCCAGCCTCCGCATGGCCCTTGCGGCCTGCTCCTTGTCCTGGCTGCAAAGGGAGGCTGAAGCCAAGGTTAAGTCGAGCTGATGGCAGAGAGTGCTCAGTGAACATCCTGGGACTGATTTCACTCTGGCTGCACCATGAGCTTGTCCTCAGAGTGACCCAGGGGTTTCCTTCATTTAAAAAAATTAATTAAGGCCTGACTAGTGGAAATAATACTATTAAAAGAAATGTCAGAGAGTGTCTTCCTTAAAAGAAAACTGCTTTACACGTGAGGCACTCCTACAGCATTACAGCAAGCAATGAGACTTACCTGATCCTCATCAAAAACCAGCATTGTAAGGAACCTTTATATTAAAGTTGGATCAATTTTCCCACGTGTACCGCATCTTAGGCAATGTTGTGATCTAATTCACTTTAAAAGCAAACCTGAGGCTAACCGATCATCTGTGGCTTCAAGCAGACAAATGGGCAGCACAGAGCTGCTCAGTAATAAGCACAAGGGGATCCTCTGGGGCCCTCCAGCTGCCCCCTCAGCACAGGACAGAATGGCCCGGGGGTGGGAGTCCCCCAGACAGGGTGCCGCTTACGCCAGGGGCTGCTGGGGTACTAGCTAAGATGCTTAGCTTGAGTGCTTCCCGGAAGTAAATCTGTGATGTGGGACTGGAGGCTTGGGATCTCTGCTGAAACTGGCTCAGGGCCGACGGTGACAGGGACCAGGGGTAGTTCTGGATATGGAGGGGAGAGGAGGCCAAAACCAGCCGGGCTTTCCTAATATCCTCCCAATCATGCCCGCCTTCTCCCTTAAGTGCGGATCTTCACCTTGATGCAGGGGGTTCAGCGCCTAAGAGGACCCCTCGGTAGCAGGGCACGTCCCTCCGGGGCCCCAGAGCAGTCCCACTCACCTCATCCACCGTCCACCGGGCCACCTCGCCTGCCTGGATGTTGGCCACACCTGGAAGCAACTTGCAGTGCTGCTCCCTGCCGAGAGGAAGGTCCCGGAAAGGGTGGGCTGACAAGGAGGACATGAAGACGGACTGGTGCAGCGCCTGCTGCGTCTGCTCAGCGGAATATTCTGGAAGAGAGGTGGGGGGGGAGTGAGCCACATGCAATGCAAATTAGGGAGCACCGCCTGGGTCAGCTCTTCCTCCCAGGGGGCCAGAAACAGGGTAGGGGAAGTGCAGGCTCGGTGGGAACCCTGGCGTTCTGGTTGCTTGGCATTACCACGGGGAGGAGTCCCCAAGTACGGCCCATGTGGCTGTTCTGTTGGAAGACAACTGTCATGAGAAATGGATGTTATATAAGGCCCAGGTGACTCTGGCTATTCGCTAAGCAAGATCAAATCATCTCTACGAGACACTGTTTGATGCCAACGAAGAGAGCCTGTTACTACCACCGGCTTCTCTCTCCCTATATCAGGAGTCAGAGGAAGCACAGAGCCGCACAGAGCGCTGCTACGGACTGGCCCTGCACCCCGCCCCCTCGGGGATACGTGTGCACAACAGCGACGTCTTCCTGGAAGCTGCCTCCTGTGTCTCCAAAGACACACTGAGCCCTGGTTCACAGCTGGCTTCATAGGTCCCCTGGGGGACACTCAACATGGGATGCAGCTCGGGGTCCCTGGGAGAATCTGGGTGGCAGCTGCCGAGATAGCTCCCAGCAAGATGCGATGGCCTCTTGGGACGTGTGCAAAGCAGCCGCACAGAGATGTGAATGGTCTGGTGCAGGCACTCTTAAATGGGTGCTCTCTCTTCAGAGGAAACACTCTGAGTGAGCCACGGTTCTGGGACATGAAGGGCGACTTGCTCAAGACTATGTTAACGGGTAAGACCTCACTTTCACCTCTTACTTCTCCCCAGGCTTATGGGAGTAGGGTTCCACCTTCAGGAATGACTTTACTCTTATGTCCCATCCCCACATTTAGATGGAGCCAGAGATCTCAACTCCCTAATTATTTGCTTTGAATTGATAAATCGATGAGAAACAAACACATCACAGAGGTTTTGGAGAACATTCGTGCCTTTACATCATTTTAAAAGATACTTTCAACACACAGCAGCAAAAAAAAGCTGTGGCTATTTTAAAACACTTTAGAAAGAAAGACCACACACACAAGATGCTTTGAGCCTTCTTAAAGTCTACCTTTCCCAGTGCAAATGACAATTTAAGTAAGCAGTAGCCACATAATTTAAAGTCTATTATGATGGTTCGTGTTTTGCTAACAGAGGCTGAAAAGCTATTATGCAAATATTTCTACCTCAAATTAATTACAGTTTTTAGTAGGTGAGGCTGACCTGCACTGTGCATGGTCACACGGTCACATACCCGTTAGTAATCAGAGCTTCCAGACTAGGAAGAAGCCCATCCATCACCACCCTGACTGCTCAGCACAGACATCCTACATAGTTACCAATGCTTGCTGTCTGCACAGATAAAGAGACAGCAAAATTGCGGACTTCTCCCAAATTCTTATGCTCCAGTTGGAAACAGCAGCAAATTCATCTCTAAAAGCTGATTGTCCAACACTGACCTTTTTAGTATGTAAATAGGTTATCTCCCTCCGTGGAGTTCAGCCAACTGGAAGTATGGCTGCCAGTTCTGAAGGGAAACTTCACACCTTCTCTGAAAAGCCAGTGTGTTTACAAATGTGAGTGTTCTTTAATGAAGGTGTCAGATTGGACAAGAAGCATGAACCAAATTCCAGCCCTGAAAACCCACGGCAGAAGCACCCCAGAACAAGTCTGCAGTCAAAGCCACACAGTCACTGAGGGCTTTCCTGGGAAACAAGGGGTTAAAGCTATGTGCTCATGGGGATTAAGACGTGAGCCAAAGCTTGGCTTTATTCTGCACCCATCAATTGGTTGTTTTTGCTGAAATAGCGTGGACTTAAAAAAAAAAATCACATCTGTATCTCAGAACTGATGCCCTGGGTAAATCAATCATGTAGTTTCCAAAATGTACAGGACTCTGAGAACACACACTTAATGAGTCTTATAGTTTGGAGGTGCAAAGACGTCGAGTGATGGTGAGTAGATTCCTGTGATTCACAAATAAAATCTGAAGGCATTAAAAATGTAAAAGAAGCACTGTGCTCCCAAGCAAGAAAATTTTCCACACTGTAATTTTGGAAGCAAATTGTCTTGGGAGCTGAGGGTTCCCCTTGGGAATACATGTAATGTGTGGTTGCCAGCACTGACCAGTGCTGGGGTTCCTCAGTACACTGTGTCTCATGGTTCCGGGCCCTGGTAGACAGGAGCCTTCAGTCAGAGGCTTCTTCTTCAGACCAAGAAATATAATGGTCTGGGGCGCCTGGGTGGCTCAGACGGTTGAGCGTCCGACTTTGGCTCAGGTCATGATATCATGGTTTGTGGGTTCAAGCCCTGCGTCGGGCTCTGTGGGGACAGCTAGCTCAGAGCCTGGAGCCTGTTTCGGTTTCTGTGTCTCCCTCTCTTTCTGACCCTCCCCTGCTCACACTGTCTCTCTCTCTCAGAAATAAATAAAACATAAAAAAATAAAAAGGAAATATGATGGTCTGTAGGTTACAATGAAAGATAAGGAGCTCCAGCTATATCTTGCACACTTGAACTCAGGAGGCTTTATTGCTGTCTATGGCTTTTGAATTCAGTTAACTATGTCTCTATTAGATCAAACTATTTGTTTGAAGGGAGGTGAAAGCCAAATTGCTTGAAGGATGAACAGAGCTTAGTAGACAATAGGTTCTGTAGGACATAGTGAGTCATGCCATGTCAGTGAGGACAGGTCTGCAACACCTTGCTGGGTTGCCCAGTCCCCTACCAGTTTGGGTATAATAAGGGCTCTTGACTGTGTACCTACAACCTCAAATTTTGGGGAATGCTTGCCACTACCAGTTACACGCTGAACACAAATAATATTTCTACTCTTATCAACTTTACCTATTTTTAAAAATTTTTAACTTGTTTGTTTTAATTTTAATTTTGTTTATTATTGAGAGACAGAGAGAGACAGAGCATAAGCATGGGAGGGGCAGAGAGAGGGGAGAGACACAGAATCTGAATCAGGCTCCAGGCTCTGAGCCATCAACACAGAGCATGATGCGGGGCTCAAACTCACAAACCGAGAGATTATGACCTGAGCCGCAATCAGACGCTTAACCAACTAAGCCCACCAGGCACCCCTACTGTTATCAACTTTACAAAATGAAATGGGGCACCTGAAAGTTTTGTTTTCCTGCCCAAAAAGACATGAGTTAGGTTAGCGGGGGAGTCCGTGAGCACGGAGTTTGGAATAACCAGTCTGCCAACTCTAAGATACAGCTGGAGTTGGGAACACGTACCACCCAGAGCTGGCAGGAAAGGAAACGAGAAGGTGCATAAGGCCATGGTTTCATGCCCAGCATGCTGTGACTAGTCATTAAATGGTAAGTGCTACTTTAAACTTGACTGTAAGATCCCTGAGGTTGGGACTGATGCTCTATGAAGGGATGATGCATTATCTCAAGTTAACACAATCCAAGACTAATTTTTCAATAGTAACAAAAGAGAGATAATACATTCTGGAGAGTGTTTCATGGTGGTTGTTTTGTCTTATTTTACCATTTACCAGGTCTAATTTCTTCAAAGCCGATGATTTTGGGGTGAGATTGTCATGTCTAGCTGAAAGAATGCTAGGACAGGCGTGCCCCAGAGGACTGTGGCATGATGTGGAGGGAGGCGTCCACATCAGCTTGCCTAGTTGTGAAACTGGGTCCCCACACAGTTGCTAAGTGACCTTGGATGAGATACTCAACTCCTATGTAGCAAGGATTTTTAAATGGGGTAATTGTAACACTGACATCCCACTGAGTTGTTGGGATTAGAATAGCTTCTGGAATATAATGAATGTTCAATACATGGTAGGTATTACATTACTGTTACAAGTGTGAAGAAAGAGACAAACTCGAAACGGAGTTGTTTGTGCTCAGCCCCACATCAGCAAACCAAGAGTTCATACCTAACCTAATCATGGTTTCAACCTCTCCCAGCAATGTAATCTCAGGTGGTCAGTCTGGAATTTCCTGGTGAGCACATGTGAGGTAATCTGCCTGACAGATCCCTGCCATCCCCCAAACAAAGGTGATCTTAGCCTGAAACAATCTGCTCTTTGCTTGCCTCTGCCCCCTTCTGTCTACAAAAATCTCCCATTTTGTATAGCTCATTGGAATTCCTTTCTATCTGCTTGATGGGATGCTGCCCAATTCGTGAATTCCTAGAGAAAACCAGTAAGATCTTTAAAACTTAAAGTTGAATTTTTGGATTTTTTTGTTTTATTTATTTATTTTTAGCTTTTTTAATGTTTATTTTTGAGAGAGAGAGGCAGAGGGTAAGTGGGGGAGGCGCAGAGAGGGAGGCAGACAAGGCTCCAGGCTCTGAGCTGTCAGCACAGAGTCTGATGCGGGGTTCGAACTCATGAACTGGGAAATCATGACCTGAGCCAAAACTGGATGCTTAACCAACTGAGCCACCCAGGCACCCCTATTTTATTTCTAAAATCTTAATTTTTAAGAAAATTTTAAATGTTTTGAGACACAGAGCGTGCCCTTGTGCGCACAAGTGGGGTAGGGGCAGAGAGAAGAGAGGGATAAAGAATCCCAAGCAGGCTCTGTGCTGTCAGCATGGAGCCCAACTCGGGGCTCGATCTCACGAAACTTGAGATCATGACTTGAGCCCAAATCAGGAGTTGGATGCTTACCCAACTTAATTTTGTTTTTTAACATAAGATATTTTAAGTTCTAATAATAGTGAACGTTCAGACATAGAAGATTCCCAAAGCCAGTGTGGCTGGATCTGCCTAAAACCTATGAAAGATGAAACTGAGACTAAGATCCAGGATCTCCAGGCCATGTTCTGATATCATACCCAAGTGGTCCTGACATGAGGGTGGTGGTCACCAAGATCATGTGCAGAGTCCCAGTGGATGGTGATGAGCGTGGGGTCCCTGGCCACTGGTGATGCCAGCTAGGGCATCTGTTGCCCAGGCAGGCTGGTGCCAATGTGCCGCAGCGGAGTAACACGGTTAAAATGCGTGCAGCCTGCCAGCTTCGAAATTATGTGGCTC